CAGTATTAAAAAAAAAAGTGGAACAACTAGTCTATGGACTTCTCTTGCTTTTGTTTGCAGTTGCAGATGATGATGTAACATTTTGGAACAAACAGTCACCATACCTTACTAAAACAACCAGCTAGTGGCTGCAGCGTCAGCTGACTGATAAGTTACACAGCTTAGTTTTTAAGACCCAAAGGTTTAATGAGAACTGGTATTTGCAGTCCACGCCGTGATGCAACATGAAAGTACTGTTTTAATACTGTAAGACTTTATAATAAACACAATGAAAACAGTCTGCATATATGACAAGTTTCATAAAAGCTACAGCAACCTTGAGTCAGGTGTAAATTAGACAATGCGAGTGCCCTGAGCTCCGTGTGTGTGTGTGTGTGTGTGTGTGCTGACCTCTAATATCACAACATCATAGTCACTAAAGGAGCAGAACTGTGTGGCCCAGGCAGCATCACTCCTGATCACCTCATTGATTAGATATTCAAAATCCAGAGTCAGCTGCTCAACACAAACACTCTGCAAAACAAAAAGTACAAATTCATGATCAACCACACACACAAAAATACTCTGTACGTGTCCAAACCATCTCAGCTTTGCCTCTCTACCTTTGTCTTCAAAGTGTCTAATTCATGTCCATTCTGGTTACTCAGCCCTGTAACTCCAACATCCCCAGGACAGTTCTTACTTATTCCTTACTGCTACTTCCATACATGTTCTCCATTGACTTTACAGTCACATGCACCAACACCTACCTGTCCATTGTGTGGCCCTGTAACCAGCTGGAGGTTACGTCCTTTCAGGTCTGTGACTGTGAAAGGCAGCTGGACTTTATCATCTTCATAACCTAGAAAAACAAATGAGGAAGAAATACCAGTCAGCATCTTTGGATCTGACCGGACACATTCTTTGACTCTGTCTTTTATCATCTCTCACCTCCAGCATTCTGCTCTGCTGCCCCTGGCTGTTGTAAGCGGTAGTGTAGGCGTGAGTAGTTTACATATCCAGGCTCACTGGGGCTGGCTTCCTGGCATGAAGACATAGTTGGAGTGGCTGACGGTGATGAGGAAGAAGAGGCGGGAGACATCACTTGTTCCGATACCTGTGGCAGACTATGGCTAACACCTGAGGTTAATGGTTGTAGTAAATTAGTCCTTCTCTCTTCTACGCTCAACCCTTTACAACCACCCTCCTCTCTCACAGTCTCTGCAATGGTCCCTTTGTCTCCAGTTGACTGTACTGCCTCTTTTACACCACCATCAGACGTTCTCCTCTCCCCCTGGCCTTCACCATCTTTCCCTCCTCCCTGGGCTCGCCTGAAAAGGTCAGCAGCAAACTCCCGGGCTCGCATCGCTGCTTGTGAATGGCTAGGAGATGAGGGGACTGGAGTGGGTCTGCTAGGTGGAAGTCGATGTTCAGGAGATTCTTGAGGTAGTGAGGAAG